GCTTAGAGGAGGCCCACACATCTTAGGGAGGGCCATCTGCTTTACTCAGTCTACCCATTTAAATGTTAATCTCATCCCAAAAAGTCCTCATGGACACACCCAGGATAACATTTGACTAAATATTGGGGCATGGTGGCCCAGTCAGGTTGACGTCTGAAACTAACCATCACAAAGCCTCAGATCAGGATAAGGATAAGGAACATTGTTGAAATAAAGGAGTCGTACGGCTAATTTTCCTTTGCATTTTCTACTAAATTAAATTTTAAATGACCTCTACAATGTACACAGTCAATCGAGATACTCGTTCGTAAGAAACTTAATCAGATGTTTAGCAAACCTCTTGATTTTTATAAGGCCTCCTTTGGGCTGTTGAAGTCACCCAGTCCCTTTGTCCTTCCAGCACACCTAAGCCTCTGGTCCCTGTTCTATGCATTCACCTGCATTTTGTCCCAGGCTTTAGGTGCTGAAGATTAGCAATGTTTCTGACAAAATTTAAGATTTCCTGTGTAACTGTTCGGGATGGAACTGTCTTTACTTATCGGTGGTGCTTTGATGTGTAGTCACATAAAATACATTAAATGGTGCTTTTAAAAATACTTTGTAAACTGCAGGATTCAGTGTAAGTACAAGAGGTTGTCCTCTTCCCTCTATGGTGATTGGCATAGACCTGGATTTTATTTTTTTGTCTTTATAATCCACCACCTTTTTAATCTTTACCTCTGGTATCCGTTGACTCATTCATTTTCTTTTCCTTCCTGTCTCCACCCCCAGTAGAACCCCTGGAAAATATCTCATAACTCGATTCACACTGAGGTATAAATGAGTGTGGTAGCCTTTAATACATTATCCAATCTAGAAATATCTAGATATTATTAGAGGACAAAAGAATACATATCTAAGTGTGGATTTTCAGGAGTCATCTAGAGGGGAAGATATTTGGGAGACAGAACTAGAGTTTAGTTTTCTCTGTACCTTATGGCTTCTTGTCAGTTTATACCCATCCATCCCTCCTGGAATCTAGAATTCTCTAATATGGCAAGATTAAGAGGAGACTTGCAGTTTTAGTTTGAACTATCTCATTGGTCTAGGACAGCAGTGCACACAAATCCCAGGAGGTGCTTTTGAAATGTCAACTTTCCTGGGCCTCAGACCTAACGGATAGAAGAATCTTCAGGTGCAGGACCTGGGCAACTGCATTTTTAAAAGCCAGCAGGTCACCTGTTCATTGAAGGCTAACACCGGTAGGCTACTACTTTGCTAGTAAGGGGTGCACAGAATCTCAAGGGAGGTAAATTCATTATGCACATTGAGATTACTTCAGTGCACTCTGGGACTTCATTGTTTTGCTGACAAGTGGTGATGAATTAATACGGTCTTTGTTTAGATCTTGTAGCTGTCATTTTTCTTTCATGCAGAAAAGGTACATAGTGACCTTCCTAAGAAATAGATATGAAGGACTTGGAGGGGGTCAGGAGAATACCCAAAATTTATAATGCTTTTGTGTGGAGGGAGACTGAAGGGAACAGTAGTGTTCGATGTTGGAAATCCTCCAAAATACCATTTATTCAGAGTTAAGGGTTAGCCTAGGAAGTTTGGTGTGAAAGGTTAGTATCTGCTTGGGTGCCCAACAACACGGCAGAACTAGAGATGCAGCTGCTGTGGACGGAGTGACGTCACCTGCGCTGCATTCTTTATGACTCGCCTTCTCTGCAGACCTTCTCTTGAACTTGGAGATTGCTTCCAAGACCTTCTGAATCACAGCCTTCTGTTCATCTGCTGCATCCTCATACTGGCGAGTCACAAGTACCTTTCTTCACCTATTCATTTATCTTTAAGAGAAGGTCACACTTGTCTGTAACACGTTTTAACATCCTTGGGAGAAAGGAGAGTGGCTGCCTGAGTTGCCTGCTTTTCTTCACCAACTCGTGACTTCAGTTTTGAAGGCAGACACGTTAGTGGGAACGTCTGTTGGGTAGATCGCTGTGTTTACTTCCATTTTATTCAGATGTACCATGGTGGTTATTCTCCAAGGTGCCTAAAATAGGAGGAGAAGCTCTATTCGTCCTGATCCCCAAAGTCCATTTACTTTGTATTGTTTTGAGTCATTTTCTCAGAATGAGTGGAAACACAAACTCACCGCCTTTGTTTGTCCGGCATCTGTTTGTGTACAATTCAGTTAATCCAGTTTAGAGGCTGGAAATGCGAAGAGAAATGAAACAAAGTAGCAAAGCTGACTTACGATTCCCATCCTGTCTTTAGTCGGGGTAGTTTAGAGTGCTGGAGTTCTCCAAAGACTGTGTCACCGTGTTGGGACCACCGGCTCTCTCTGGTTTGGGGCCGAGCTGGTGAAGTTTGGCGGGAGAGCTGGAGCTGCGGTGCGCGGGGAAAGCCAATGTAAACCTCCCGAAAACCAGCTGAAACGCATTTTTCCTAATTTTTCACTAAGTTTGTGAAAGGAATCACATTTTCATTTTGACCCGTGAATGTGTAATTTTTATTTAGATCCCCTCTGCTCTTGCTTTAAGATCCAGCAATGGGAGCAGAACCTGGAGAAGTTTCACATGGATCTGTTCCGGATGCGCTGCTATCTGGCCAGCCTGCAAGGCGGGGAGCTGCCCAACCCCAAGAGTCTCCTTGCTGCCGCCAGCCGGCCCTCCAAGCTGGCTCTCGGCAGGTTGGGTGTCTTGTCTGTTTCTTCCTTCCACGCTCTGGTAAGTTCCCGCGGAAGTCATGTCAGTGGCATTCGGGGGGACTATGATGCTCACCCTCCTGCAGCTTGTGGCCATCAGCTGTTCTGGGACTTGACCCAGTAAGTGACGAGGTCACCCAGAGGCCAGGAGACCGGGGGTGGAAGGGTGGACATGTCCTGCTTTCAAGAGTCCCCGGTTTCCCTATTGCTTAGATACTTAAAACAGGAGGAAAAGCTCTAGCTCTGTTGCTAGAATCCACCTGCTAGTGGACAGGCCTATCGGTGTCTCCCTTTCTGGCTTCTCCACCTAGTACCATCAGGAAGGTGGGGTCCCTGAAGAGTAGCAGCAGTGGCGTGAAGCACCAGAGGTTGAATCAAGATCGATTTCTTAGTACTGCAGAGAGCCCCATTGGGTTTTCTGAAATCTCTCCTGTTTTGGTGGCATCTGTGTGTTGTGCTGGCCCAGCTCAGGGGTCCAGGGGTGGTTTTGCTGACCGTGCTGCCCGCTGTAGGGAGATCGGAGTGTTGTCACTTGGCTCGTGTTATCCAGATGAGAGATATCTATATGGTGGATGCATTTCTGGTATGCCAAACATGCAGTAGCTTTTGGCGGTGGTCAGAATGCATTTACAGCAAGCAGAGCTTACTTCTGTTAGGTCAAGTGTTAATTCTCCCCGTCATTCCGGTCATAAGCTTTGAGATTTTTTAAACTGTGTTTTCAATTAGGTATGTTCTAGAGATGACTCTGCTCTCCGGAAAAGAACACTATCACTGACTCAGCGAGGGAGAAACAAGAAGGGCATATTTTCTTCATTAAAAGGGCTGGATACTCTGGCCAGAAAGGGGAAGGAGAAGAGACCCTCTATAACTCAGGTGAGCTCCTCCCCATGGGATTAACTACAAACTAGAGGGAAATTCCTACTGATTTTCAGCCTGCTGCAAATCATTAATGTTCATCCTCTGTTAAGAATGAAATAAAAATTGGTTCAGAAGAATCCAGTCATAGCATGGACCTTTTCCCCCAAATGAAAATACCCAAATTGCTCAATCTGTCTTAGCATGCTCAAAGAGGTGGTCACACGTTGCGTGGTGCTTAGGAACACAAAAAATAATAATCAGAAAATAATCCACACTGGTCATTGACTTTAGTGTTACTATTTATTTTCTCATAGATTTTATATTTTAAGATAAATATGGAAAATGATTAACCATTAGAGTCGCGACAGCTAAATTCTGCTGCTAGTGCTAGATAATTTGCTCACTCGATCCTTCCAACATGATGTAGGTGTTTTGTCATCCCATTTTACAGATGAGGAGACTGACACTTGGAGAAGTTAAGTCACTTACTCCCCCTCCCCCCATCCTCCAGCACCTGAAGGGCAGGGCAGGGGCTTATACCTGCCTGAGCCCAAAGCCCTTAAACACTGGACAACCACTGCTGCTGATTTTCCCTTGTGGAGTGGCAGCTCTTTTAACATTTGGTTGAGTAAAAATAGCCTGAACACATATTGCCGAAGTGTGGCTCATGTACAGTGAATTGGTTTCAAAACAATTTGAATATGTATATCCGAAGTACTTGTATTTGTGATGCCTATGATGTCGTGCACGATGACGGATTTTTTTCTTACTGATTGATATGTTTCAGGATTATTCTTTTTTTAAAGACTATTGAAAAGATGAGTTATATTATGATCGGATCATGTAAGTGAATAGGGAAAACATTTACAATTAAATTTGAAGTCCTTTTTTTTATTTTCAGCAGTTGCTGTTATGCTTTCAGTATCATCTGAAAGAGTCACATTTTATTGGAACTTTATTTTCTGATATGCAGTGTATTTGATGGTGTATAACACTGTTATGAATTAGGTAAATAAGAGGGCTCGTATCATCTCTTTGCCCTGTTTAAAACCTCGAGGCAATAAAGGCAGAGGTGGTAGGAACGGGTTGATGAAAAGACAGCAAGACAAAACCTCACACAAAACCTCCCTTAAGTGGCTGCTGTTTTTGTATACTCATATACAGAAAGAATATCACATTTTAAAATTGTGACTGTTAATTTAATTGTAAAGAGTAATCATTTGTTGGTTACACATGGAAACACATTTCTTCATTATTGATCGTAGTGAACTGCAAACCCTTGGCTGGTGCTAGGCCTGTGCTTTCTGAATTGACCTTCTGTGATAGTTCACCAATGTCCTTATGGCATTTTAATCAGGGCAGTCCATTCTATATAATTAAATGGTAATTTGATAACTTTCCTATTTATCTAATTTAGCTAATTAGTTATGAGACAACAGTCTTTACCCAGCACTTGTGGTAAATGTTCTCAACATAAGATTTCTTAGTGAACAGCATCATTTGGTTGAACATTTTCTTTTTTT